AAAAGTATTCGGAGCGCTTAGAATCGACGGTCGAAAGAGATACAGACGACAAAAGAGAAAAAGTCATTCCAAAAGTTCGTGATAAACAATATTCTTTGTGATGAAATTCTTGTCAGGCAACGCAACACGAATGTTGTTGGGATGACCAACGTGCGACAAAGCAACATACAATTGGCCATGCGCAAAAACATGTTTGCGCAACCAAACCCCGACACGAGAGACAGTTTGTCCTTGCGACTTGTTTATGGTCGCAGTGAACGCAAGACGGATGGGGAACTGTCTCCTATTCCATTTAAACCCCATGGTTTCACCATCACTTGTCAAATCGATTTTGGGGATCAGTGTCGTTTTACCGGTGCGCATTATGGTCACTTCCAACAAATCATCAACAATCTTTTTAAGAATCAACCTTGTGCCATTACAAAGTTTTTGTTTGGGCGACAAATTGCGCAACAACATCACAGGCGCACCAATTTTCAAGCGCAGTTTGTGAGGCGAAAGACCAGACTCATCGAGAGAATTTAAGAACTCGCGCTCGATGCCAAGTCCGTGATCATCAGAACCAGGGTAATCAACACTATAACTTTCACGCACCTCGTCAGGGAAATCGTTGAGAACCATGTCGTTAACACACCCCACATCGTCATTAGCAGCGCAGAGAATCAATCGAGCGTAAAAATAGTCAGCATCCCCAACGTGTTCACAGACATCCTCAAACGTCCAGGAAATCAAATCACGAATAGGTTTATCATTGCAAATCTCATGCGGCAGTTTGACCGTGGCAGGTTCGTTAGGAACAAAACGAATATGATCACCATTCCCAATACGCATCAAAAACACACCATACATTCACGTCATTGCATCATTTCCTAAGCTTAAGATCCGCATATTCTCAGTCAGGCAATGAACCTCAAAAAGTTTTCACAAAGGAGACATTTTGATAGAGACATCAATTTGTTGTACTCGAGAGTCATGTTTCACAACGGGCAAAACCTGTCGAAAGTCCCCAGAAAGAAGCAAAACCTTTCCTTCAAACGGGAGGTTACTGTTACAGAGATCTCGAAGCGTACTGTCAAGAGCTTCCAAGTGGAACTTGTTACTCATTGGAGCTTCATCCCAAACGATCAAGTTGGCACGGCGGATAAGTTCGACAAGATCACTCTGTTTTGGAATATTGAAGGGACGCGTGTTATCAGGTTTCAAAGGTGCTCAAAATCGCGAGTGAAATGTTCGACCACCGGTCAAAAGAGTCGCCGCTATCCCACTAGACGCCACAACGAGTCCAATACCATTACGAGACCTGATCCCCGCCAAAATTGTTTCGATGCAAAAAGTCTTTCCTGTTCCCTCCGGCGCATCTACAAAAGCATAAAACAGTTGTTTCTCTTCCACGACCCGAATAAGTCTTTGCACCAGCACTCGTTGGCGCGGCCGAAGACGTCGAAAATTAGACTCAAATTTAGTTCGCATTTCAATCGGATCATACGACAATTCGTCATTTATAATCGAGGATACAGTCCTGTTCTTGCAATGCCTGTTTATGTTGTCGGCAATCGTTTCTCCATCAGGGGTCGGATAATAAAGACCGAACAAGCGGATATTTCTGTCAGACTCATGCAAGATACGGTCAAGATCAAAGAACACTAAACATTGCAAAATGATCGGAGGCAGAATCTGAGAGTCTGCACGATACTGAAAATCATCACACATTTTTTTCCAATGTCGTTGAAAGAATTGAAGAGGATCGTTGACCGGCCGAAACAGCAGAAGCATAGCGAATACTTTACGAACCTTTGCAGGCATATAATGGAGTGCGGTTGTATCTATACATTGATTATATGCATCATCGGTTTGCAAAAGTCATAATCGAAGACACACCGATCTGAACGAATCGTATTCGACTCCATCRACGGTACGAATTTCCGCAAAAGAGTGTGGTCCATGAGAGTGTTCATGGTTTAGCAACACACAAAGATAGAATCGTTCGCCTTCCGTGATCCTGACATGATGCAATCGAGATATCTTTTCG